TGCATTACTAAACTTATAATTGGAAAGAAAAAAAAAAACACCTCTGACACTTTTCTGACAGGATAAACTGAGGGTCTGAAAACACTGATCAGAACAAGGCAGAGGTGCTAACTTAGAGCTACTAAAATATGACTGCAAATGAAGTGGAGAAAGAAACAGAGTAAGAAAAATAATTTCAAACTGATGTAAAACCATTTGATGAGACCCCCAAACTTAACACAGGTCTAAAAAGAAAAGGAAAAGACCGCACAAAACATTGTTTTTAAAGGAGATGGCTGAAGCTGTCTCGACTTTCTTAAGGTTGCATTACCTATGCCAATTAAAATTTTGCTTCTGAAAAAGAGTTAAGGCACTTCCTCTAGAGTTACTAAAAAAAGCAAATGAAAGCCTTGGCTTCGCAGAGGTGAGTGATAGTGAGCCGTTTGTTCTTGACCTCTGGATCACCCTACAGATCAAATTCTTGGACATAGGAAAAACCCACTAGTATTCATTAAAAGCAACTGGGAGGCCAGCTTTGTGCTTCTGTTCTTGAGACCTGAACAAGCTACAACTTGACAAACGTGCAGGATATTGCTGAACAATGCTGCTGTTCCTGTCAGGAGGGAAGAGCTTTACTCCCAGCTCCATTCAGGATGAATTGATTTTCATCACAATGATGCAAATCACAGATTTCAGTCATTATTTAAATAATCGATTGTCATCTCTTACCTTTGTGGGGCTTTTCAGTTATTCCCATAAAGTTGATTCTGTTAACCATTAACATGCATTGATTTATATTGAATTAGCTTTTATACTACACATTTTTCCCTCAAAAAGATACATCTAGCTACAGTTATCTAAACAAATATATAGCCTGAAAGTCCCAGATATTTAGTTTTACTTTTCTTTCTGCTAGATATGGGTGACATTTGCTTATATATTTTCGTAGCTAAAAATTATGTAAAGTATTGCTTTATTAGAGAGATTATTTTATACTTACAGCTTTTGACATTTTTATGCATAACAGAATTTAAAATCCACAAATAAGCCTATTGCCTCATTATTCATAAAATTAACTGCTATAAATTTCTCTGCACACAAAATAAACTTCATCAGAATACTTTTTCTTTTTAACTATTTCTCTCTTTCAAACAATCAAAAAAAAAAAAACAAACTACCTGTAGAGCTGATCAACAGAACAAAATAAAACAGTGAAAAATATTCTCCCTGAACAATTGTTTCTGTCAAAATGTGGTTTAAACAAATTCTGGCTCCAGTTAACGGCAGTTCTCTGGTGGTTTGAATGCTTTTAAAGCTTCATTAGAAAACAGACATTGTGAGAATATTTGTATCCAAATGTCTGCAGCATACTATAGTGAATTCAGTGCTTAGCATGGATGAACAATTTCAAATATAATCTAAAAAACCCAGACATATTTTAAAATAACATTTGAATTTAAATAAAACTTATTCACTTATGCATATTCAGCACCCGAAGCTGCAGTAAAAACAGACTGTCTCTCCTTACTCTTTCACAGATACATCAGTATGACTTGTGCTCACACTTACTTCACAAAGGCAATTCCAAAATTTAAATTTTCATATATCCATCACTGTTTGTATTTTTCTGTCCTGTTTAATAAGTAGCCTCAATCTCAAACTTCCCAAGAAGAAAATATTTGCGTTGGAATCTTTAAGAGTTTTGACTCCATAAACTATCAATTATTTCCCCACCAAACAAGGCAGGTTCATAGCACAAAGTCAGAAGGAAGAGAAAGGAGGGGAATGTTTTTGTGGATTGTTATCTATAGACCAAATGGAAAATCTTCAGCCATTTTGCTCCTTCAAGGTACATCAAAGAATCTCCTATTTAAGGTGTGAAAATGTCAGTTACATTCTTCACCTCTGAAAATGAACAGAGCTCTGAATGTGATTTATGTCCCACCCTGGCACTTTTCTCTTTTAGGGGCTGATACTCTTCTTTTCAACTTCCTTCCAGCTAATGCCATTAAATACTCTCAGAACCATAGGGCTAAATTCAAATTTTCTGCTCCTTAGAGGCTGTTGTTATGCACCACTGCACATTCCAATTGCAAATACACATGAAAGCTCCCGTGTATTGTAAGTTATTTTTTACACACAAATTCTGCTAAATTGTAAGTTAGGAGGCACTACTTGAATTCTCTGAGGTCTTTAGAAAGCTTTCAGATGTACCACGAGTAATAACATGTAATGAATATGGACTGATATTTCTTTTCTGTAGTTACACTGAGTTGGCAATTTACATTTTCTAGATAGATTACTTATAGCCAGCCTTCCCAGTACTCTGGCAATTACTTCTTAGAAACCCCTGACAGGCTGAAACCTCCAGAATCACATCTGTTATTCTTGGTTTGATCCCTCTTTTTAAAATTAAAACCAGTAGCTTTATCAGCAAATGAGAATTTTTTTTTTCCCCCTCTGGAAATACTTACAAAAGTGCACATAAATTGAACACGCCAACTTATCTCGTTTTAGGGTTGGTGCATCTTCTGGGTTAATGACCAGTGTTCCATTTCTGTGACAGAACTAACTGAGGTAAGGAGCCCATAAATACACACAAACCCCCACAAATTCTCTTCCTTTGGGGCAGTCTGAAGATTTATAGAAGTAGAGAGAGATGTGATTGGAGGGGAAAGAGAAAAAAATTTAAGAAGTGCTAACAGGCTTGTCTGATCATTTTGTCTCAGTTTCCAGGCACAGAATAGAATTAGAGCAGGTTTTTCTAATATCTGATGTGACTTTTCCTTCCTCTCAAACACCAGCTAAAATGCAAAAATCTGGCTGAATTTTCACATTTTCCAGGAACCGTCATTATTTAAAAAAAAAAAAAAAGAAAAAGAAAAAAAGGAGAGAGAATGTATAGACAATACTACATCTTTATGCTCTGAACACAAACTGGCTGATTGATCTAAACAGCTCTGATGAAAACAGTAGCCTCAATTCCACACCAACAGTTGCTCAAAACATGCTCTGACAACAGTTTTTCACAGCTGAACACAAACGAAACATCCTTCGAGAGAGAAATCCGCACTTGGTTGGAGCTCAGTGTGCATTTCCAGCAATCTAGCTGCATTTGTCATGCATCACTAATCGGAAAAATCCAGTTATCAATGGCTTATAGGAAAGAATAATTCAGGTTTGTCTTCCATGACTAGGTCAGAATGCATATGCCATTCACTTTTTACGGCTAAAACAACTCCGTACCATGATGCGATGTCCCTTAATATTTCAGAACAAACATTCTAAATCCGTGTGCACACCTGCAAATTGAAAGAACTTCTAAATGCAGCTGGAGGCAAAAGGGTGACAGATTTCCATTGCAGATTTGGGAAGCAAAAGAGGACAAAAAAGAGCACTACATATTGCCTGTGCATATAAATGTAAATGTAAAGGCATGTCACACAGTTCTCCATTTCAGAATACCAAACTCTGTCTTCCCCAGACGGGGATTCTGCATTCTCCAGATCTCTCCAGCAGTGCTGTAAGCAAGCTAAGTTCAGGTAGATCTGACCCAAATAAATTTTAAAAGATGCCTACACTTCCTAATCACTGGATGGCTGCAGAAGCCCTCTGAGTCTGAGACATACGTACAAAAGAGGTTGAACACTCTTAATCTTAGCACCTAACCCTCCTCAGCTCTTTACCTTGCAGCAAGCCTCAAATCCACCTCACTCTACCCAAGGCCTTATGTGCCCTGCCTTCTGTGCTGATATTACCAAAAAAAAAAAAAATTACTTCAAAATGTCTTGAGGAGATGATTCTTAACCTGAATTAAGATCATCTTTCCCAATTTGCTGATAATGCAGGATTTGGAGCATTACTTTTTTTTTTTTAGCTAACCAGTGTCAGGCTGATTTAAACTACTAGCTAAAGGCTACAACTTAAATTAAAAAATTAGTAGCTCAAGTCAAAAATGTGAGACACAGAGTTAGATCAGTTTTCTAGCCAGCACTAATGCACACAATATGACCAGAAAAAAGCACTGTCAGAAGCATCAATGTGTGTGGTGTTACATGAAATCTGCGGGCCAAGACAACAGAGATGAGATGAAGGGGAAAATTTCTAATATATGTATAGGTTTGCCCCATTTCTCCTGTCATTCCTCCTTCCTCTCCTGCTTTCACCTTTAAAGCAAGGCTGACATCAAAAATAAGTTATAAGCTTATAATAAACCCTTCTTATAGGTGTGCATAAATTAGCATCTCAGTACTTCAGCTGACAATTGAGAATGCCAAGCAGCAGAATGATTATCACCATCACTCAAGTTCAGGTTTCTGGTAAAGCCTGAAAGGACTGTGGCTGTTGTTAGCATGAGAATTTTAAACAAGTGCTACCCAAGACTACACAGAAAGATGGCAGGCATCACAGTTAAATGGCATGTAGAAAACACAAGGAAGAATCTCCTTAGTACAAAATGGGACAGCAATTTTTTCCTGCATGACATGCTTGACACATGGATGGAATGACACCAAAACTGGCTTGAAATTTTGCTATCACAACTTTATAAGGAAAAGAAAACAATGCCTGGAACTGATCAAAAAATAGGGCTTAAAAGCACCTGCTGCCTTATACCTTGTGCTGTGTGGGAGTTAAATTCTACCACACTAATCTATTAGCATAGCACACATAAATACCCCAACAGCACAGAATATAATGGAGCTTCCCTAATACATACTCAGATGCCACTGCAGTTAAATCCACGAGCACAGGGTGGGCATTGAGTCCACTCAGCAGGTAGGAATAGTCACAGTTCCTTTTGTCTTATTTCACACACATGGCTAAATAGAGATTATTTATACACACACAAAAAAAAAAAAAGGGAGAAAAAAAAAAGAAACTATTTCAGGGTGGTTTACAGCCAAGTTTGATACTGTTCTGCAGGGCAATGCAACAAAGCAGCTTCATGCATGTTCAACAGGAACAATTCCTGCTGTGGTTCAAAGTAATAAACAGCAAAGAAAGTTTAAATTGAGACTTACCACGGGGCACCATATATTCGGAATCCTTTAACTGTTACCTCTGAATCTTGTAAGTAAATACTATTTGTCAGGAGTGACTGAACATTGTCAAAGTCCTCTGGTTTCAATTTGGACACAGAGGGAAAGCGGTAGTAATCTTGTTTAACAAGGTCTGCCATGAATTCCTTATCAAATGTCAGTTCATGATTCCCAGCAATCACTATTTTATATTCATATGGTAGGTTTCCTGAAATAACAAAAAAGAGGACTTAATTAGCACATTTTCCTCCCACCCCAGCAATGCCGGCACAATAGGTAGACAGCCAGCAGTGACAGAACCAAACACCCGAGATCTGTGTGCACCTCCATGTCGAGCACAAGGCATTAAAGCTGCTTCTCCTCCACTGAATGGAACTGTGTTAAAACGTAAAGGAACGTCACACAAAGCAATGTCATAACAAAGGGCCTGCGCTGCAGAGTTAAGCAAAACAAGCTGGTAGGCAACAAACCAGCTCCAACGGTGGCATAAACCACCACTGCTGAACTAAGATTGGCCTAAAATCTGACGTGGGACTGGGTCAGGGTCAGCAGCCCCCAGTCCCTGTCCCCAGGAGTGCCCTGCAGTGAGATAGGTGGCTGTCCCAGTGGGCAGGTGACCAGAGCCCGCAGGATACCTCACCAGTATGTCCTGAAGGTACTGAATTAGACTTATGATGCTGTTGTTTTTCTAGAGTATGCTGTTATTTGGATTAATTTGTGTTCCAGTGGCATTTATTCCACACCTAGTCTGTCCTCCAAAGCATCAATTCATTTCCAATGTACTTTCATATTATTATTATTGCTATTATGTTAAAGCAGTATCTCGTTTCTGTAAGACGTCCACGAGTAGAAGAAACCATAAAACAGCCAAATACAACACAGCAGGAAAAAGGAAATGTGGTTAATTCATTTACCATGAGAGTCAGAGGTAAAGAATGCAGGTTTGCTCACCTCAGTGCAGGGCAACTGATACCACTGTTTGGAAGGAGGCTCATGCCCACAGAGCCAGATTGTTGGAGCTCAGAAACAGATTTTCAAGCACTTGGTACCAGCAATCACTGCCAGGTCTTCCAAATAAACATACTGGCTGCTGAGCTCCCTTAAAAATATAGTCCCATACTGTGATGTCTTCACAGAAGTTAGGTTCTTTTACAAAATCTGTCCCATCGTGACTTGCCAAAAATCGCACCTAAGTTTGCATCAAAGCTAACTTCTACTGCCTTCACCATAAGCTTGATTTCCCAGTCTCAAACCAAATCATTGATTTTGGTGTTTACTCCTAATAATCATTTAGAAAAGGTTGGGTTTGTTGTGCTGGTTTTTTGAGGGGTTTGTCTTGGGTTTTTTTCCATAAAGGCAGCAAAATATATGTGGAAATCTATGGGTCCATCTTCCACCTTGGGGACTCACAACATCTGCCCCAAGGAAGACAAAATCAGATGTCATACATTTCTTGTGAATACAGTTCTCTTGAATAGAAGTGGCCTTGCCGGTTTAAAAACTTGCCTTTTAACTGTTTGGGTTTTTTTAAAGTAAGTTTCAAAGTAAAGCTGCAAGTATATATAACAAGATTAACCTTCCCATAAATAAGACTCACAGGGAACCAGCCAAAACCCTCTGCTTTTCAATATTTACAGCACAGAAACAGGAATTACACAAGGTATGTATACAAATATCATTTTAGCAAAATTAGTTAATTCTGGATAGAAAACCAAAATGATACATGAAAGAACCTGAAAGAACCATGCAGACTTTTTCACAGACACCTCATGTCTGAACAAAATACAGATTGTACATACACTTAACTCTCTGCAGTGCTGCTTTTGAATAAAATCTGGGGAGATGCAATAAATGCTCCTCTACAGGTTTTGCCTCACTCTTTTCCCTCTTCCCTCCTCTTCCCCATCTGTGCTACGTGCAGCTCTGCAACTCATTTCTATTTAAAAACTCAATGTGGCAGGTACCTACAATTCCTGCTCTCTGTGACTCCTGGGCACAAGACAGAATTGCTATTTTCTTCTCTCCCAGGAAACATAAAAGATACCACCAGCATGAAATTTGATACACTTGTCATAACTATCAATCCCCCCAAACAAACTAGATGTGATAATATTACCAGAGAAGTAGGATGGAGCAGTTAAATTCAGGTATCTGCCAAGTTATCAACATTTGCCTGTTTTAGCAGAGAAAACTTTTCATCTTACTGGATACATGTCCGAGCTTTACACTTTCTCTCATTTATTTTGATAGACTTGAAAACCAGCACATTTTGCTGATATTATGTCCAATTAAGCCTGGAACATTTTTGCTTGAAGTCAACGTTTTTTTTTCTCTTGACATTTTAAAAATAAGGGCTTACTTTGAAGACACACAGGGCACACAAAGACAAACTAATGGTGGCATCAGTAATTATTAAAACGTGTAAGTGTAACACTGTAGATGTTATTTAAGCACCTGAAAGCAGTAGGGAAACCAAACAGTATTTCTTTGCTCTGGCTTTCTGGTGCTGGCTCAGGAGCTATCAAGGGGCAACACCACTCACCAAAAGGCAAACACACCAAAAGCCAGGCCCATGCAAAGGAAGGGCAGCAGCAAGAGGAAATCTCATCCATTTCTTCCCTCTACCCCGAGGAAAGACTATATAGCACTAATCACAGTAATAAATTACCTGCAATAAGATTAGCTCATTTATTCATCACATTCATGTTCTTCCTTCTTGAGACGTGTTGTGACAGTGCACAACATCCATTCTCTCTAATACTATTTATGAAATATTTCGGTGTGTTTTCTTTTGGCAGATCTGCCCTTTGTCTATAACCTGTTGACCTTGTGTTTAACATGGAAGCATTAAGAGTCATATTCAAAAATCTCCTACTCCATGGTAATTTAGTTTCATCTTGACCAGATTAATCTCTGCATATCTACATCAGTGTTGCCTGTACAGAACAACACACAGGTTGAAGGGCATTTCCTTATTTTCCTTCACTAAATCTTTGTTAGCTACATTTGGGTTTTATTAGTCTAATTTCCTAACTATCAAATCTTCCATCATGCATCAGTAATATAATTCATTCTAACTTTTACTGCGAAGACTCCTTTTCCAAACTATAAAAAGTTTGATTTGTTTGCTGGGACAAGCACTTCAGAAAACCCAAATATCAACTCTCAGCATAATAACTGAGTTTATTTAAAATACTTAAGTGCATAACAGGTGAGATCAAAAGGCTAAAATTACAACTACTAAAAATGATCAGGGCACTAAGTCTGTGAAGTAGAGTTACCTACACTAGAGTATTTGAACCCCAGCATATTTAGGTGTATATACACACACAGGGTGTGTATGTGTGCTTCTTCAAAATATATCTATCATTTTGGGTAAGATGAGCAACATCTCACCCAACATCTGCCCTCAACAGCACAAGCAAGGGCACAATGCAACCATTGATCAAGAAAATACTGCAATTAGCCAAGTTGTTCTCTTCTGGAAGCCAAAAAGGTCAATATTGCTCCTGCTCAAATAAAGGCAAGGATAGTTAACTGCGAACAGTAAAAAAGGAATTGTTTACAGTAAATATATTAATCTGGGAGTCTCAGAAAATTTCTGTGACTTCTTGTCTAACGAGTCAACCCTCAAGCTACAGTCCCAAGTACCTTTGCCCCCAAGTGCTCACCTTTACTCTTTGTCAACACAAGGATTTGGTGGCCACAGAATAGAGTGGATCAGAAAACTGATCCAGATGAAAACCAATGTAGCAAAAAAAGGAAAGGGTGTCTGTGAATGCTGGTAAGGCAGGAGTTCTATTGCTGGCTGCAGCCACTTACACTACTCAAAGTGTCAGCTGAACAACAGACTGACTTTAAATATATCTATTACATGGGATGAGGGGGGAAGCTTGGGGGGCTGTGGGGTTTTTTTAACCTATATAAGTAGGTGATTCAGTGGGGGTTTTTTTAAAGTTCACCTTAAGTACTTGGATCCTAGGAGTCCTTAATCTGCTGAACAGCCATTCCCATTTTAAAGGCATGCTTCATATGAGTACAATTTAGTCACACAACCCAAGTTCTGTGGAGCTGCCAGACATGAAAAGGAGTCTGACTGGCAGCGAACGTTAACTGCTGAGTCCCTACAAAAATAGAAAATCACATTATTTTTTGACTACTGTTACCTGCAAACCCCACAGGGAAGTAGGGGAATATGAAATAATGTGATACTAGCTGTCTATATAGCGGTAGAAACCTGTATTTACACACAAATGATATGCAAGTGCTTTTGATGTGAAGCTCTGAATATGCATATGCATGCATTAACTATTCAAACCACACAACACTTCCATGAAACACGAAGCCTTTTTCATGCCCATTTCATAGCCTCATAAACCCTTTGGCCATATGCTGAGAAACAGGTTGAGAAAGCTTGAAGTACAAATCCTAGTCCCTCCAAAAAGAGAGAAATCTGTATAAAAGATGTGTGTGCTGGTGAATCATCTCAAGTTTATGGTGTATCATATATGCTTCAACAGTGCACAACTGGTCATGGAGCATTCACCCTATAACCAACACCATACACGTCCAGGGATAAACACTTGAAGGAGCAGATTTGGCATTGTTCCCATGGAATTCCAGTCCCCACAGGAGCACAGGCTGGCAGCAGTTGTCCAGCCCAGCTGCCTACTGATGGGCCCAGCCCGACACTGGTCAGCAGCTCTGTAACTCTTCACACAGAGAATTCTCATGGAAAGCCCATAGCATCTCAGGGCCATGGTCAGCACAGTCACAACACACAGAAGCTCCTTTTCAAAAAGAAAACAGAATATCTCAAAGCTCTGATTTCTCCCATGGCAGCAGCAAATGACTTAGTGTAAGTACAGTTGCACAGAGTCAAGCTTTCACATAATAAGCCGGACTTATCTCACCAACGATCCAGTCTAAATACCAAGATCTAAAACTGGGTAGGAAAAAACTCGACATCTTTTCTAGGATGAGACTGACCAACAACTGTGAAAGTATGCTGGCTGTTTTAATCAAATCAGCCCTCACAAAAAGTCCTCGATGGAACAGCTAAAACTGATGTCAACCAACATACCGGCTGAAAATGCAACCCATGAATTTCTAAGCATTTTAGCTCTCTGTGTCTGTAGAAACCTACACAATGAAACAATTAGAAACAAAAAAAAGCGGGCAAATAAAAGACAGAACATGCACAAAACC